CTGCTGCCTGCAGTGAGCAGGGCACACATCCCCGGGGCTGGGGGGACGGTGACACCCCAACTGTGGGTACGGGTCCAAGGCTGATCCCTGTTCTGAGTGTGTGGGGAGGTGCTGGCTGCCCCGAGCCCTCCAGGGGCCCAAGAGCACGGGCAAGGCTTCCCAGCAGGGCCCTGGAACAGAGAGCCCTTTCAGCCCCGGAGTGACAAAGCCCGTAGGAATGTGGCTCCATCCTCTCCTCATCGTGTCCCTGCAGCTCCATTCCCCTTGTGTCTCTGAAGTCACACATCCCCCCGAGACTTGTGTCCCCCCCCTGCACTGCGGGTACCCAGCACCTACAAGCACCAGGTTATGCTCTGTCCCTGGAGGGGAGGGCACAGCCCGTCTGCACGAGCAGTCCTCTGCAAGAACTGGGAGCCTGCCCACAACCACAGAGCACACTGGGATGTTGTGACCACAGCCAGAGGTTCTGGGCAGGGAGAGCCCAGGGCACAGGGCTACAGTCATGTGGGATCTCGGCTCAGGCCCCCATCCTCAGCAGGTCCGAGCCCCGGCACAAAGCCCCAGACACCCAGTGAGCGCCAATGTTTCTTTATTTGGAAGGTAAATCCATAGGCACTGGGGAGGGGGCTGGAGGAGGACAGAGTGAGCACAACAGGCAGAAAGCTAGAGAAAGGCACTTGTGGTGACAGAAGTCCCATCTTTTGGCAGTGTGGGCCAGGAGCCCCATCTTTGGCAGCCTGGGCCAGGGCTATACTGGAGCAGGCACGGGCAAGAAGTGCCAGGGACCAGCCCTGACACAGGGTAGGGATAGCACGTCCTGCCCAGGGAAGGGGTAGATGTCCTGGGGGCTGGCAGTCCCCCCAGCACGAGGTGGGATCAGTTGAGACAGCACCTCATGATGGAAGCAGTGACCCAGCACTAACCCCAGATCCCTCCAAGCCCCAGGGGAATCACAGCTGGTGCTCTCCCTGCAGCACCAGGGAACTCCAGGCAACACCCAGACCCCATGGCCAGGAAGTCCATGCCCAGAGCCCAGCCCATAGCAGGGCTCCCATCCCACTGATCTGAGCCCATGCAGAGCCTGGTACCCAGCCTCCCTCATCCAGGAGTGACAGAGAGAGCCTGTCTCCAGACAGGGTGAAAAGGGCTTGTGGCAGGACAGCCCTGGTGTGGTGCTCCTCTAAAAATTCCCAGTCTCTAGATACCTGCTCCTCCAGTTGGCTGTAAATGGCCTCTTCAAGGCTTGGCACCTGGCTGGCTGTGGAGGCTGATCCAGACTGGGCTGGCCCTGCTGCCAGTGTCCTCTTTCTTGTTTCCCAAGTCCAGCTGTGTCCATGCAACACTTGGCCCCAGCTTCCCCATGGCAGCCCAGCACCCCCATGCTGCCAGGCTCGCTTTGCCCTCTGGCTCACGACAGCAAGCAGGCAGCTCTGAGATGGAGCCAGAGAGTCCCAAGATGAGGATTCCACACCGACAAACCAAGCAGCACCAGTGAGACTGTCATCTCAGAGCCACAAACCTCACAGCAGGAGGGAAGGTGGAGAGAACAACTTGCTGCCTTACTCCCCTCAACTCCAGGGGCACCTGGCCCCATCCCAGGGCAGCACAAACCCCAAGGATGGGAGGGATTTATCCCCTTCCCAGGGTCGCAGGACCCGGCCATGGCCCTGCTCATCCTACCTCTCGCCCGGCAGCAATGGAGGCCTTGCTGACCTGTGTGGGCTCAGCTCCCAAACAGGACAGTGTGTCCCGGCGCCTGGGATGACACCAGGTCAGACTGTGTGTCCCCACACACCCTGAGTGCAGGGCAGGGAGGGGCTGAACCCCGCAGGGATTCCGCAAGACGGCGGACATGTTCAGGCCAGACGGGAGGAGGGGCCTGGGCTGGGGAAGTGGAGATCAGAGCCTCCATTAGGGATCTGCGCAGTTGGTAACAGCAGGAGGGGGCTGCCAGCAGATCGGGAAGGCTGTACCCACCCATCCCCGCTACACACCACTGTCCCCTTCTCAGCTACCCCAGGCCAGTCCCCTCTGCCCTGGGGACAGGTCAGCACCCACCTGAGCGTGCAGCACCTGCGAGGCTGGGGGCAAGGGAGTTGGGCAGAGGTCCTGGGGGGTTGCCAGGAATTAGGTTCCCTTCTAGGGGCTCTCTGCTTGGGTCCTTCCACTTGCAATAGCCTACATCTGTCCAGGGATGGGAGAGGAGTCTGTGCAGCAGCTGGGTCTCCACGCTGTCTCAGTGGGATGCAAGGGAAGCCGTGCTTGGGAAGACCTCAGTCTGTTCATCCTTCTGCATGGTAGTCTCCAGAGGAAGTGTGGTGCAGTCAGTCAGGAGCCCACGCTGTCTCGGCAGGATGCAGGGGAAGCCGTGCTCAGCAAGGCCTCAGTCTGTTGCTCCGTCTGTGCAGGAGGCCCCAGAGGAAGCGTGGTGCAGTCAGCCAGGAGGGGATGAGGCGGCAGGGTCGTTTTGTCCCGAAGCGAGGCTGCTCTCCATCCGTGGGTGAGGAGAAGGGGAGCTGAGGGCTGCGGGGTCTCAGATGATGTCACGCTGGTCCCGGCAGCGCCGTGACAGGCAGTAGAGCCCGGAGAAGAGGTACAGGCAGGCAGTGATGCCCCCGCAGACAGAGGCGCTCAGGTAGGCACCGTACAGGCAGTGCTGGCTGTAGCCTGGCAGGTTGCAGTAGCTTTTCTGCTTGGCCTTGTAGCCCATGATGCCGGTGGCAGCCGCATAGAGCCCCACGCCCAGCACCAGGTCGTGCACCAGGTTGGTGAGGAGCCAGCGGGAGCCCAGCCAGGGCACTAGTGCCCAGCGTCCCAGAAGGCTCAGCCCGAAGAGGGCCAGGGTGAGAAGCCAGACCAGGACAGCAGCGAAGAGGGCGAAGTGGGCCGCCCCTTCGTACCTGTGAGCCGCCACCGTAAACAAGAAAGAAGCGCCCAGCG